CTTGTAATTTGTAATTTGACCTCCCATTAGTATAACTACCTGATGTCCAGCATCTTTCAGTAATTTGGCAGCAGTGAGTCCGCTTATTCCTGCACCGACAATCACAACTATCTTTGGCTTTGCAGTTTTGGCCAGTCCATTTCTGGAAATGTTTAACAGTTCTTCATAGTCTGGGTCATCAAAACACTTCATCCATTCCTCTTTTTCAGCAGCATGAAGAGGTTTATAGATCAAGACTGTCGCAAGAAGTAAGAACGTATAAAAAGCTGGAAGAGAAAACAACAACCAGGATTTAACAAGGAAGGGAAAGTAAATCGAAAAGAAATGCTAATTGATAGTGATCTCAAAACCAAAAAGGACCAAGACTGGGACAAAAGAAGAGAACCATGAGAACTAAGGGTCAAATTATACATGACATCAGTCATGTTGTTTGCCCTGGAATAAAATGTTTCTGTTTCCCTTAATTAGCAACAGAGCCCTTCAAAATGGATCACAATACTAGAGTGAAGAGCAGGGGGCTCCTGACTGTGTCAGAGAGTGCCTCATAGCTGCATAGGAATAGAAGTTCCTGTTCACTCTAGTGGAATCTTTATTCCCCACATGAATTGAATATATGGCTTTAGGGTCAATCCAGACTGGCACCACGATGAGGCACAGGTCTGAAGAATGCCGATATCCAGACAGACCAGGGTTCTGAATTGGGGAGTAGGTCTATATTGCCAGCATGTAAATAAGAATAGCTATACCGAAGAGCAAACCGCATATAAAAAGACCATGTCAAAAAGAAACTTCATAATCTCATTTTCAAAGAAGAATCAACAGATCTCATTATTTGGTCCAGGAATGGACATTATCTACATTTCAGCTTCCCCGTTATAGGTTTGTCCTGCATTTTCTTGTAAACCTGGATAGGAAAGACAATTCAACAATGTCCAGTGCCAATTTAATCCATTCCTAAAATACTAATCTAGGAATAGCAGTGGGTGCTGCTGGTACTGGTCATCATAATCAAGTACTGTACAATAGTTAAGTGTAGAACAAGTTCTGAATCTATTTACACTCCCACCACATAAAATAATACGTGCCAATTTCTTCATCACATTTCCAACAGGCCTTAGAATAATCTAAATTTATTATATTCAATTTCATTGGAGTCATATACCACCTTAAATTAATTTTTTAAATTTTTTCCTTTATTCTTACTGACATTAATCTTAAAACTTTCATCTTCCAATTTTTGGTCCAATCCTCTGTTTTAATTTCTTTAAATCTTTAAATCATTTCCCCAAATTGATTTCAAACCTTCTGTTTGTCTCTTTTTCCTCTTGTTCCAAAATTAGATTATAAATTCTATTTACTCCTCCCTTCCTCAAACCATCACTCTGCATGTCTTCATATGATGATAGAAATTGTTCGTACTTAGTACATTCTCTATATTTGCCATTAATTTTCAACCATTCATTTGCCCAACTATCTAACTGGATATAATTACACCATGATAGTTTATTAGTTTGAAGTTTAACTATAATCTGATCCTTCAATCTCATTTTAATCGTCCAATCCTTCAATCTGGCAACTTTTTTATCCTTAAATAAATCAACAAAGAGACATCGAGTATATTAAAAACAATTTTTTGTGGAATTTCTTTTAAGATATGGAGCCCCAAGTTGTATTCAACCAAGCTGTATACACCCAATTCTAAATTTGATTAGAAGTCCATTTTGTGTCTTTGGAATGTATCCCAATTCAATTCAGAATATTTTGTGCATATTTGATTTTATCCTGGATCATTTAAAATTAAGGGATGATTATTTATTTATTTATTTTATTTTATTTTATTTTATTTTATTTTATTTTATTTTATTTTTTATTTATATTCCGCCCATCTGGTCAGTTGACCACTCTGTTATATTTAAATAAAACAATTTAAATAAAACAATTTAAATATAACATAATGAACCTATTTATGTCTTATTCAATTAGATGTGTGCTCTAAACACAGGGTGCGACTACACAGTAGGAAAACTGCAAATTGATCTGCTACAAAGTTGTACTTAGGAAGTTCCATTTCCTTCTGTTAATTAACTTCAGCCCACCACACAGGAGTCTGTAGAGAGAAGTTGAAATTGGCACTCAGAAGCCTTATTTGCAGCTCCTTAAGGTAGCTCTGCTCTACTCTGACCTTCCATATTGGCAGGAGGCACAATTAGAGCACAGCTGACTTAACAAGCTGGAAACAAGGTTGACTGATAACTTCCTCTCCTTTTTCTGCAGATTCCTTCCTCCTTCCCTCCCCCCCCTCCCCAGTTTAGTTGCCTAGCATTGGAGGAAAAAATTACTGATGGAGGGACGGGAAAATCCGAGCTGATAGATAAGGACTTGTATATCATGTAGTCAGTGGAAAAGAATGTTCATCAGATTATCCCAGTACTAGAGCATTTATTGTATTTTCTCTAAATGATTTGTGGATGCGAGTACATTTAGAGAAAATACAATAAATGCTCTAGTACTGGGATAATCTGATGAACCAAATCTGACCATTTCACTACAATCCAGTCCTCATACACGCTTCTGTTTGGAATTTGTGATAGATCTGAACCCTGTGTGCAGCTCTATTTTCAAATGAGGACCTGACCATATGAGCATTTGTATCTGTGATATTGTGTCTGTGATATTGGTAGCACATCCTTGGATCACATGATGCCAGGCTGAAACTAGTGGCAAAAGAGTTCAAGTAGAACAAAAACTTTACCTTCGAGCAGTATTTTTGTTCTGCTTTCCTCCAGTGCAAGATCTACTCTGTACCGCATCGATGCAGGCTAATCCATGTACTTGGTGAGTGGGTTTTACTTGATTAACTTTCTTTGTAGACCTGCTTCTGCTGGTCAGTCTCCACACACTTGACTTACAGTTACTCCTGTTTAGTTTCTGTGGTGCATCAACTGTTCTTACATTCTGCTTTCATTTCATTTCATTTCGACATCATTACTTCTGGACCATAGCACAAAGGTGGGAACTAATTTTAAAAAATTAAAACTAGAAAACATTATGGGGAAAACATGAAGGTTTGAAAATGGTGGAGAGGAAAACAAGGAGGGAAGGTAGGAAAAAGTGAATTAGGCAGGGAGAGGGCAGCTGTTCCGTCTTTCTTCTTTTACTTTAACTTCCAGAACAGAAATGCCATGGATTCTTGGCTATATCAACTTAGACTTCTTCCCGCCCATCTGGTATATTCTACCACTCTGGGTGGCTTACAAAATATCAAAAACAATTTAAAAAAACATAAAAACTTTAGCATACAACAATAACAAATAGTGCAGGAATAAATAAATAATAAATAGCAAAGCAAAAGAAATCAGTAGTTGACAGGAGGGAAGGCCTGGATGTACATCCATGTTTTCAGCTGGCATTTGAAAGTACCCAGCATAGGGGCCTCACGAATCTCCGGAGGAAGGTTGTTCGAAAGGCGAGGAGCCACCGCCAAGAAGGCCCGGCTTCGAGTCTTTTCCCTCCGGGCCTCCTTTGGCGTCAGGTTCCTCATCCTCACCTCCTGACTCGTGCGGGTGATCCGAGTAGATCTTGGTGGGAGCAGGCACTCTGCCAGGTATCGAGGTCCTAAACCGTTTAGGGCCTTATAGGTAAGCATTAGAACTTTGAATTCAATGCAAAAACGGATGGGCAGCCAGTGCAGCATGGCCAGAACAGGAGAAATATGTTGATGTTTTCTCATCCCAATAAGGAGTCTGGCCGCTGCATTCTGCACCACTTGAAGTTTCCGTATCAGCCTCAAAGGCAGCCCCACGTAGAGTGCGTTACAGTGGCCTAATCTTGAGATTATAAGCGCATGTACTAAGGTAGTGAGTGCCCACATGTCAAGGTAGGGTTGCAGCTGCGCAATCCGCCAAAGGTGGAAAAAGGCGGTGCGAACTACCGACGCCACCGGGGTTTCCATAGTGAGCGTTGGGTCCAAATGAATTTACAATACCAAGATTGGGCTTTCCAATAAAATCTAATTTTTAAAGCAAGCCATAGACCTTATATCTTTCGGACATAGAAAAGGTAAAAACAGACATGTCTTTTCTGTGGAGGGACTTGCTTAATAAGTATTTAATATTTTTGTTATTGGTTTTGATCATATAAAGAGTAATGCATTTAATATTAATTCATTCATTTTAAATCATAACTTCCAAACTCAGGTGGGGTATGGATGAATCTGTTACAACATAAAGTGGAAGCAGGAAAAAAGGTGGTATTTATTACTATACAAAGAATCTCAGACAGAGTTAATCAGCCTTTTTGATCTTGGGAATAACAAATAAAATATCTTTCCTACCGCCTTTCTTGTAAGCACCAACTATGTCAATCCGTGGTTTTGCATACAGTACCAGGAAATATTGCAATGAAGACTTACAAGTAAGCACATAACTTTACAAATATTTCTGTGAAGTGCCGATCCAAACCATGGTTCAGGCAGTTTCTTGGTCAGCACTAAACAAAGGAAAAAAATTAATTCCTACTTATAATCTGAAGAGACACCAGAGTATATTAATTAATTTAATCTAAGTGATTCAGTACATCAACCATGGTCTAGCACAGTCAACAATATAATTTCACTTCCCTTCCCCTCTGCAGACGAGCAGGAGAAGTATTCAGTTGACAGTGGAAGGAACCAGAAGATTGAGGTTAATATGCTCCTAAAGTGTGTGAAATGGCACATTGCACCTCCCCACCCCTGAGGAAATCACCCCTTGATTTCAAGCAGCCCTATTTAGACCACACCGCACTGCACCAAAAGGGCCAGCAGTTACTCAGTCGGCATAGGACACTAAGATTTTTCAGCCCAAGTGTATCATTTTATTTCTGAGATAAATATATTGAAGGGTTGTCTAGCAATGCCCTGATGTGAGTTGTAGTCCAACACTATCTGGAAGCCTGGTGTCTTTCAGATAG